AATACAAAGCTTTCTTCATAAACACTTGTGTTCCTCCTTTGAATTCTTAAGTGGTCTACTTGGTGCCGTTCTAAGACCTCAACGCTAGAGTGGGAGGCTGACTTAGTGTAAAAACCACAGGGGCGGAAGTTGGAGACACTAAGTGCCGCACGGTGCTTGGAGAAAACAACAAGTCCGTGACAGTCGGGTACAGTCCCATGTCTAGTTATGCCAAATTCATTACACAAACCATCAAAATCAGCATTACAATACTCAAGACCATTATCAATATGAAAATATTTTACCTTTTTACCTGTCTGGTTCTCCACTTTTAACTTTCCAATTTTTAAAATTCGCGAAAGTTTTAGATTTACTTTTAACAAGTAAACCCATATACGTCTGGAGAAATCATCAATTATAGATAAAATATTTGTTACCACCAAAAGTGATACTCCCTGGATCCCACAGATCAGTATGAATGTATTCTAAAACTCTAGATGTCTTGTGTGTGCTAGATGCACATGATATCCTACGATATTTACGAAGCACACAATGATCGCAAAATGGCATGCCGAACACCTGATCCTACCAAACACACCCTTATCATTAAGGAAATTAAGTCCCTTAATACCAACGTGAGCTAACCTATTGTGCTGCTTCTGTATGTGATCAGTGTCAGTGATAGTGGAATTTAAACAACCTTCACTTCAGCATGTATGATGTATATGTCATCCCTTCTAGCAGCCTAAAGGTTTTAAGTGCTTCTCTGAACAATTTTATCACTCTATAACTGAGTGCACCAATGAAACCTGTACGTTGTAATTCCCTCATAAAAATTAGATTCCTACCCATATGTGAAATATATTTAACTTCTTTTAATGTATGCACAAAGTTACTGTCAAATTTTACAATTATACTACCCATACAATTGATCTTATATGTGACTCCATCCTATGAAACCAAAATTTATTTGATGTAACATGAAAGAATCACTGAAGTCAAGAATCTACTCATGTATATAGAAGTTCATAAACATGTTAATTTCGACTGGTTCAGAATTTAAGAGTGTGTAAACTTGACCGGGTTCATCTCTAGGGATAACTATGTTTGCCTCATTTGGTTCATTACTTCTCTGATCTTTCAATTCATTTGAGGGATAAATTTTGAAACTGAAAAAACTTTCAAGTAAGAAAAGTTTATTAGGTGTGGATTGTCTCAAGTAAAATTTTTCCAACTTTTTTCGAAGTTTTTCGGTCGAATCATGTTTATCAACTTTTCATAAAATGGAATTAGATAAGTGCAAGATAATAGAAGTATATGGAAGTTGATCATTTTTTTTCCTGATCGTCAGTCACAATTGTAAAAAATAATTTATCAGTAGCTTGTAAAACCTTTTGTGTAGTAAAATTCATTTCATTTTTTTGTTGCTAATAGAAATGTCTCATTTACCGTTAAAGACACCAAAGTTAAAATGATGCATAGGCATGTCAACAAATAAGACACGTAGCACATAACAACCTTTAAAGAGATAACCACACAAAAATGTCCTAAAGGTCACAAATATACGTCGATCTAAATTTCCAAGAATTTGTGAGATTCGTGACCTTAGATCAAGGAAATTTTCGAGCTCGTAATGTCTAGGTAGCAATTCTAACCAGCACTCAGCTCAGCAACAAATATGGAATTCAGCAACAATCAAGTAATATCTAAATCATGATTATCTCAAATAGTACACGACTGTGGCTTTCTCCACTGCCTGATCGTGGCTTCTGCTCCTCCTTCCACCACTGACCCTTCTTCCACCACTGCCACTGTCATCTCTTTCTCTATTGCCCGACTGTGGCTTCTGCTCCGCTTGGTTCCTTTCTCTACTCGACGTTCGTCTCCTCCTCTACCCTGAGATGAGGACCCAGCCTCCGTGGCCTGGCTGCACTGGCGTCTATGGCAGCTCTCTCTCTCTCCTACCATTCCATCATCATCACCATTAACAACATTTTTATCATCAGTACGTTGTCCCTACCTACCATTCTCTTTGTCAAAATCAAAACTCCTCTTAGAACCAATACATTTTCTCCCGTTCTGAAGATTACTAATACCATTTTCAGACGATCCAACGAAACCCAAAATTGCAGCCTTCCCTGTAGATGAACTCCGGCTAAGCCTACCACATTATATTAAAATGACATCTAACTCTTCTTATGTGTAAATTGAAGTCCTCACTGGTGCTACTCCATAATCCCATAATTATTCACCAATTCACCATTCTTGGCTTTGCTTTCTTCATCTTCAAACCGCCTTTCGATTTCATGGCTCTTCCTGTGTTTTATGATAAAAATCTCTTTCTTTACAGTTTCTTCTTCTGCATTTTTCTTCTCCACTTGGGTATCAGATTTAACTTCTTCAGGTGGGTTTAGAAGTGCATTAGGAGAAGAAGCATTGGTGCTCTTCTTGCTTAAACAACCACCCATTTTCCAAAGTTTGAATAGAAGAAAATGGAAAAATCACAGAAAAATAGGATGTATGATTAATGTTGCGTACTCCACACAATTTTATAGAGTTTTAAAAATGGTTTGTTTCCTTGCAAGTAAGAAAATTGACTTTGATAGTTAAGTTGGTTCTTCAAAGTTCAAATAGAAACTATTAAAATTTTGACAAATAGATGGCATTACTTGAATTCAAGATTTTTATGTACTCAATGCTACTGTTTCATGTAAAAGTTAGTCCTATTGGAAGAAGGGAAATTTTCAACAATATATTCACATAATAAAATATTTTTTTACATAAATTCAAAATTTTTCTTTACTTTTTAATTATACATTCTTTAAAAAATCACTATTTAAAATATCATTTTTCTCAAAAAGGAAGTCCTACTTCTCTCTACAATGAAATCATTGCGGTAAATGAAATCTAAACTACAAACCTCTA